GAGGTTTTCCTAAAGGATGTTGGTAAATCCCCATGGGAGTCAACCTTTGGCTTGAGAATATTTTTTTATTGCTCAAGACAAACACAACAGACGGAGAGAATGTGAGGACATTGTTTCTACAACATACAAGATTACTGAGAGTTTACAGGTTGAGATCTGCTGAGTGCAATCTCACCAGGCAAATACGTGTCAAAAAATATACCGCAAATGCTTAAAATGTTTAGGTTTATCTTAGAAAACAATGCTGAATGCTCAGCAGATTAGCTTGCACTTACCAAAATCTAACTTAAGTTCTAAAAGATTGTGTCCTTTGAAAGAAGTTGCACTTAAACACTCAAAGAAAATTTGTTTAAAGTGTGACAAATTGTGAAATTGAAGTTAATACAACAGTTCTATATTCTTATTTTATTTTAATTTAGTGTGATTATGAAAAACAAAAAAACCCAAGAAAACATGGTGACAATCAGGGTCTAAATTTGTTATATCATGAACATGTAATATTCGATTTATTTTAGAATATATGCAGTGATATAAGTAATTTATAAAACCAGTAAATGTAATTTGTTTCTCTTGGAAATATAGTCCCTGATAAGTTACTTTTCAAAACATTGAACAAGAATTTTGGACCCTCCACTACTGTTCATTAAAGGACAAAGTATATAACTTGAGGAGGAAGGTGGCATGAATATTCAGTTCATATATTGAGATATTTCTAAGCATTCAGAAAAAAAATAAAAAAAATATTATTCAAATGTGATCTTATTTCTGCTAGAGAAATAAGGATAGAAAGAATTGGAAGAACTGAAATAAATTCAAATTGATTAAAAATCCATATAAAGCAAAACTGAAAGTGAACAAAATATAATTCAGTTTTCTTGTACCCTTGCCTGTTTCAATGTACTCACTTAAAATCAACCTGGAATTTCTACCTAGCTAACATCAAGATATTTCAGGTTACTGGTAACCATTCTAACACTCAATATTTGTACTGGGGTTCCTATAGTGTGTGGATCAGACACATGTACCAACCATTCTTCCCCTGGAATTCATGAATGGGCTATTCAACATTCCTGTTCAAATATACGACCACGTTCATAAAAAGAACTAAATATGAATATCCTTGGTTGTTATTGTTAGCCATGTTTTTGTTGGTTTTGTCAGAATCATGAGATATCAACATCCTATGGCTAAATCTTGAAATATGGAAGCTGTCTGTCAAGACAGGGAGCATGTCAACAGTTAGTTTTTCCAATATCAGTTCCTCAATACAAATTACACATTTTCTGGAATAGTTCAGTTGTTGGTAGAGATGATGCCTAGAATTCCGTGTTATATTTTGAATTCCAACTCAAATACAATCATTGTATAATTTGTTTCTTGTTCTTTGTTCTTGTTGAAAATAACATGTTCACTGTTGAAATTATCCCTATGGTCAATATTTTAAGCCCTTGTCAAGAGAATAACAGTAAACAAAAATGTGGGTGTCAGCGAACTTAAAGATTGAAACCAACCTGAAACTTCAGGAAAATGATAAAACAATGAACTACTGTTTAATATTGAAAAACGTAACTTAAAACACATTACACAGCACTTGGTAGACTTGCACTGAGAACACACACATACAAGCAGACAGCTTTACCAGTGAATGCTGTTTGCTGTGTGCAATAATTATTCAATGATCCAGTGAAGCTGAGATCAACTGTAAATTGTCTGTGTAAAATCTGTATCAGTGAATTATTGATGCAGAGTTATGCCCCTTGAATATATGGACTTCCCATCTGTCATCAGCAGTATGGTACTGACAAACCGAGAAAGAGTTGTGAAATCAGGGTTTCAAACCTGCAATCATTGGCTCCTTGAGCATAAAGGGAAGCAACTCTGCACAGTGAATTACAGCAGATGACTGGGCAAGTAAAACTACCCATGAATAATTTAAGTTGTTTGAAACAATATTGTGTGCAAGAGATTGTTTCCTCAATCATGCAAACTACTATTTACTTGAGAATTTATAAATGTCGATTCTAATCAGCTGTTAAACGTTGTGCTTTTATATAACAAAATGTCCTGGCATGGTCACACATTTCACAAAGCAATAAAACAATCACTTCGTCCAAGATCAATTGGAGCCAAGAGCCCCTTGAAGACTTGAGTGCTATCAATTTGATATCAACATCACTAAATTTATCATACTCCAGATGACGCCTTGTCAATCTCGCCACACATTCCCAGAATTCCAAGAGTATCCGACACATATTCACCCTACGTGAGAGTGGGTCAGCATAACACCATAATCTTCAGAGTGATATATACCCCATATATGTGCGATAGAACTGACATAAACCTCCCAATAAGCTGTGTAGCACCATATCAGGGTGAAGTGAGCCATCTTAAGTTACTCTGAACATTTTTATGACAAGGTGTAAACAAAATCTAAAAACATGAACAGACCACCAGGTTTGTTCATAACTTCACTTGAGAACTGTGCAGGAAATGTTCTTAAGCCTGTCCTCACTCCCAAGTCAGCAATTGTGAGTTCTGTTAGGTGCTTGGTGTAGAGATTAACCCTGGTCTCTACAAGTAGTATCTACATTTCATTATCAGTGAGTTTGTTTTAATGACTTCAACAGTATTTCAGTTTCATCACATGGTGTCTAGGTGACAAGGGTCACTTTCAGCTTAGATGAAATCCACAACAGCAGGTTGGAGCAGACCTATCAGCATTCCTGACAATGGCCAAAATAAGGGTTCAAGCTTACAATTAACACATCCTGGTATTGCTAAGGGGGATAACTCTGCCAAACAGAGAGGAGCATTTCATGACAAATCTTTCACTTCCAGATTTTCCAGTTCTAGTAGCTAGTTGACTCTGCATGTGTCTTGATGTAATTGGCACCATTACTTATATATCCACATATCAAAGAAGAGTGTTCAGGGCTTCATCAAACACCTGAAAACTTCATGAGTGTTTGATTTTAGTCCCTACAGTTTACAGTTTATTTTATGTGACCTTGATTTTCATCAAACTATGAAAAAGTAGATCTAAGTGCTCACAGCTGCTGCTGCTGCACATTGATCTGATGCCATCGAGAACAGGTCATGTTAGAACCCCCATGAAGTCACTAACAAAATGTCAACGTCAGCTGATTAGAAAGCAGTTTTCTTTGGCTTTACAGCATAAGTTGGCCACTTCCATCCTAGACAATGGTTGGAAAAATATTGATTCAAATTTTGAAATCTGAACTATATTCCAGAATGAAGAAAATTCTGGAATGTCTAAAAGGTGGTTGAGATTGTATAACAGTACAGTCCATAACTGTCATTCAGAAAATACCCCATTTACCTTTTTGAGGTTGCCGATTAGATGTGCGTGAGAGAGTGAGTTTAGTTTTACGCCACACTCAGCAATATTCCAGCTATATGGTGGCGGTCTGTAAATAATTGAGTCTGGACCAGACAATCCAGTGATCAAGAGCATGAGCATTGATCTGCGCAAATGGGAACCGATAACATGTGTCAACCAAGTCAGCGAGCCTGACCACCCGATCCCGTTAGTCGCCTCTTAAGACAAGCATGGGTTACTGAGGTATGCCGATTAGATGCTGTGATTTGTTGGAAACAGATCATTCTAAGATGACCCATAATGGGATGTCATGGAACTAAGATCTGATTTCAGTGAGATTGCTATTTACCCGTCCACAACTAACCCCAAAAACAGTATCTAACAATATAAGGTTAAAGACAATCAAATTGTACAGATAGTTATAGCAAAACATTGTTTCAACGACTATCAGTGTAGCGACTATAAAGTTCCCAAGTCGCGTGCTGGGATTCGAAACACGGACCTTTTGATCCAAAGTCGGACGCCTTGTCCACATGACCAAAGCTGTTAACCCTGTCAGCAAGCTCACAAGGTAAGGATGTCATCTGTGGGATGACTCCATGGCCTGCTACACCAGTCTTGTGTTGTACTGACTGACATGGATATATAGCAGTAGATCTGATGTATTACTATGCGAATGAGTTTTAGGGGACAAGAATTGTTGCAAATATTTACGATAATTCGTTCTCATGGAATATTGCTGAGGTAATGTTTATTCAGCTATTTTGAGACCCTGCTAGAACAAATATGGAGGCAGCTTGTTGTTATAAGTTTCATTTAGGGCAAATTAAACTATGACAAACCTGAAATCTACATCAACCTTACCAAAAGGTGTCAGTTATTTCCAGAAACCAACACTGCTTGTTCAAAGTTATGTGAAGATTCATGGAGAACTGTGAAGATCTGCCAGAAACTGGCCTCCTTGTCTCTATTTGTCTACTTTTGTTTTTTCCAGTTCTTCTCCACATGTAGGTCTTGTGGCCTGGCCATCCACATAATACCTTATATAGTTCCTTACACAGCTTACCATGGCTCATACCCATCAGTACTGTGGGGAGTGGTGTATATTTTATGATGCTTCAGTCAATTACTTGTGAATGATTCCCAGTACATACACAACTGTAGAACAAGATTGTACTGTCCATTTGATTTAATTTGAGACCGATGAGACTGAGAGGGGGACTACTTGCTGGTAGAACAGCCAGGTAATCAACAAGGGTGTGTAATGAAATTTCAATTTCACACGTGCAACACGCATACCTGGCTGTTCTGCCAGGAAGCCCCCCTCCCTAAGAAATAGGGAAAATTTACAACAAAATAATGATCATTTGTTAAACAACTTTTTTATTCTGAGTCCAAAATTATGAAACAAATCATCAGAGTTGGTCTGTCGATTTCATGTGACTGTGCAAAATGTGGTTTTGTTGCAATTATTACATTTTGTGTTAGTGAGCAATTCATCGGTCTCAAATTAAATCAAACGGAATGTGGTGTGTCCTTCCAGTTTCAATTGCTGATTGTAATATTTTAAGTATAAATCTGAAAAACAGCATCTTGACATGCACATCTTACAGAAACATGACAAATAGCAAAATGCATAGATAACAGAAAAAGTACTCACAAATACGAGTCTGTCTCCCTCCATATTGAGCTTTTGCATTTCATTCTTGAGGTCGACGAGTCTGCGCTGGAGGTCTGCAAAGTTCTTGCTGTCATCACTCATAACTGAGTCCCCAGCCAGGTGCAGACTGAACCAGCTGTCTGCCTCCAGACTTGAGGCTGCAACAGTCACGAGGCTTTACAAGATGCTGAGGATGTAGGGGATGAAGGATGCAGAGGATGTAGGGGATGAGGGACGCTGAGGATGTGGGGGATGAAGGATGCTGAGGATGTAGGGGATGAAGGATGCTGAGGATGTAGGGGATGAAGAATACAGGTACTATGATGGCAGCAGTGGTTGGAAGCAGCTTGGGACGTAACCTCGGATAGTCATCAACATGGACTAGAATGCAGTTTGAGTAAGTTGGGTTATGACTGCTTCAAAATAAATGTTATTTTTTTAAGGGAGTTTTTGTGGAAAATGAAAAAGTGAAGCAGGTTGTAGACTATCACGTGAATAACATGTGTCAGCTTGAAGTAGGATGAAAGAACAAATTTACAGTCAAGCTGCCATTGTAAACCACAATCAGAACTTACTGCCATGCAAGTGGGACATGATACGCACAGCAATTTGTGATGCCTTATAAAATTGCATACCCCCAGCCCTTCCTCCATCAAAGAAACCTAAAAGAGGGAGAACGAGGACAATTTTTTTTATGGATACACAACTTCTTTTATCTGTATAGGCAACGTTTTGACATTCTAATATCATTGTCAATCGACATTAAAATATATGTCGAAATGTCGCATATACAGAATATAGAAGTTGTATATCCATAAAAAAAATCCTCATTCTTCATCTCCTCACCTTCTAGAATGCCAGTCAAAGAAGTCAAAGAAGGAATCTAAAATTTAAGACTCAGAAACTTGGTCATTGCATGGAAAATGGAAGCATCTCATCATTATGAATTGTGCATAACTACTGACTGACCACTGGTGCAGGATCAGGTTAGTCGTTGTCGTGCCAGCTATTCCACAAAACAAAGCGTAGTCCTAATGTCTCTTAAACTTCATAATACCCCTGAAACTGGGCTATTTTCAGGATTATATGTACTTACATTGGGGAAAAGTATCTGTACTCTAAATCTCTTACATTTACTCACAGACTTTGTTTGAGAACAGTTTTGATAGGAAACTTTAGATTCAAATTTGAGACATTATCCATGAATGTCAGGGATAACTTTACTGTTTCCAAAAATATGTATCACAAAGGTTTAGTTGTTCTATGCTAAATGGGGTATGACATACTGAAGCCATGGTGTAATATAACGTGCTATTTGGGGGATTACTCTTTCTCAGTCAACTACAGATTCTAGTACTTTTTGGGGGTTGAGTCCCTTTTGAAAAAACAACACCCTCTAAATAGTAGTAGAATCTACTGTAACATGCATTACATTTGACCACTTTCTAAATGGCATTGTATATTCATATGGTAAAATACTTTGAACATCAATAATGTGAGGTACAGAGCACTCTCATCCCATGCCAGAAGAAACCCTTCACACAGCTGTATGACTGCCCATCACAACACAGCTGTATAACTGCCCATCACAACACAGCTGTATAACTGCCCATCACAACACAGCTGTATAACTGCCCATCACAACACAGCTGTATAACTGCCCATCTCAACACAGCTGTATAACTGCCCATCACAACACAGATGTATAACTGCCCATCACAACACAGCTGTATAACTGCCCATCACAACACAGCTGTATAACTGCCCATCTCAACACAGCTGTATAACTGCCCATCTCAACACAGCTGTATAACTGCCCATCACAACACAACTGTATAACTGCCCATCTCAACACTGCAGTATATCTGCCCATCTCAACACAGCTGTATAACTGCCCATCACAACACAGATGTATAACTGCCCATCACAACACAGCTGTATAACTGCCCATCACAACACAGATGTATAACTGCCCATCTCAACACACACAGCTGTATAACTGCCCATCACAACACAACTGTATAACTGCCCATCACAACACAGCTGTATAACTGCCCATCACAACACAGCTGTATAACTGCCCCCATCACAACACAACTGTATAACTGCCCATAACTGCCCAACACAGCTGTATAACTGCCCATCTCAACACAGCTGTATAACTGCCCATCTCAACACAGCTGTATAACTGCCCATCACAACACAGCTGTATAACTGCCCATCACAACACAGCTGTATAACTGCCCATCTCAACACAGCTGTATAACTGCCCATCTCAACACAACTGTATAACTGCCCATCTCAACACAGATGTATAACTGCCCAGCACAACACAACCATGACTTTGTGGCTGTAACAGTAACCAGGGAATGTTGTCATCCCTAAAATACAAACTGAATTGTTTCATAAAACTTACGAATTGCAAACATTATGTACAGTAGCAATTGAGTGCTGCATCTGTGAGTGTGTGACTAGAGCCTGTGCTCCACAACACAATGGACAAGGCTGGACCAGCATGTGCTGCACAAGCTGTCAATGACAACACAACAAGCAGGCTATTGTCACACACTGTCAGGGAGTTTCAGGGATGACAAACTCCCATGGTATTCAGGATTTAGTGTTGCTATTCATTCAGGTAAGAGGGACAACTGTTCAACTGTGCAGTAACTTGTCCCTTGATTCAGGTAGCTAACACAGTCTGTGTGTGTCTTGCTCTTTGACAGGTACACAATTACATTACAAGTGGTAATAATTATACCACAGGCAATACATGCAAGCTGATTAATGGATGAGGGAAATGTTTCCAAGCATATGTCTGTTGTGTGGGTAGACACTGTGTGTTCCCTGAAGAAGGGCACCTGTTCATATATAGGGACAATAACAACATTCATACTGATGGCTGGCCTAAAGTCCTGTATACAACTGAGCAGGTGAAATTACAAAGCTTTACAAGATCTGATTCTGAAAGAGAAACACATCAAGTTCATGCACTGTTGAAGTCAGGATACTGTATTTTTGTTGATGGGATTGATGCGAAGGACTGTTCATTCATCCCCTTCCCTCAACCAACCCGGGGCGGTGGGGTAGCCAAGTGGTTAAAGTGTCAGCTCGTCATGCTGAAGACCTGAGTTCAATTCCCCACATGGGTATGTAGCGGCCATAACATTTCCGAGTCCCGTGCTGGGATTCGAACCACGGACCATGATCAGAAGTTGGACGCCTTGTTCACATGACCAAAGAGGTTAACCCCCGTCAGCAAGCTGACAAGGTAAGGATGTCATCTGTGGGATGACTCCACGCCCTGCTACAGGTACAATGTGTGAACCCATTTCTGGTATCCCCTACCATGATATTGGTGGAATATTGCTAAAAGCAGCATACAACCAGACTCACTCACTCAACCAACCAACCCATTGATACTACTATAAGGTACTACTTTCCTTACACATACTTTGAGGCAGTTGAAATGTGCAGTATTCTCACCTTTCTGTGAATTGTGATCACTGTTAATCAATGTATACAGACATACAAAAACCTAGACCAATGATCATCTATTTCTATAAGGAATTCAGTATATGTTGAATGTTAAACTTACGTGTCACGGTTTTAAACAAAGGGTCTTCTTCTTCCGATGAACTCATTTTGGATGATGATGTCCCCCAAATGTCAGTGAAGCTGTCGTCAATGTTTTTAAAACTAACTATAACCTTTTCAGGAATCTCACTTTTCAGTTTATGATTGTTATTTTTGTTATCACAGTTCTGGAAGATTCTTGCTCCTGAGGTAACTTTTTGAGAGGATTCTTTCTTGTTGAAAGGGTCAAAGGTGAAAGGTATGTAGATTTCGCCAGCATCAAGGTCAGCTAGTGTAATCTTCTTCTCTGAAAGGCAATTATATATATATACACATATATTAGGAATTTGGTAGAATAAACATATACTGGGTGCTGATTTGGTTTGTTTTTCTTATCTGTTTTTCATTGTACTACCAACCAAACTGATAAACAAGATATGATTTCTGTCCCGCCATCTAAAACATGAACCAATTCAACCCATCTGAATGTTACTTTAATCACTGCTGCACTGTCTCAACCCTGTATTAATGCAAAACCCACTCAACTCTGGGATACTGCTGTACAAGGAAGAATTCTTGTAACAGAACAGAAAGAACCGCCATGCATTAATGCTTTCTGCAGTACCAGAAGCAATGCTGTGTGCCAAGGAAAATAAATCCTTGGCTAAAATGCTTGCATTCCCAACATTGTCAAGCATTCATTGTGCACCAAATTGCCTCCCTTTTTTAAGTTTTTCCTCAGTTATTTCCCTCAATACATCATTGTTCTGTGTGTAATGGAAAGGTGACAGACTATAATCATCTCATATGCAGGAACGGTCATACTGTGAACAATGTCACTAGATAATAACTCTTTTCTAAATACTTCAAGAATGTTACCCAGAAACAATATTTATGATCATTATTTTAATGTGACAAAAAATATATTCTGATTTGACTTAAAAACATCACCAGGGCAGACCAGAAACAAATCTGTTGTTGTGATGAATGTTTGGTCAGTCAGTCAGTGATAACCTATTTCAGACAATCGCCAGCAGGTAAAGCATTAATCACATCTGCCTGACGTCTTCAGCTGACCAACGTACCTTTCTTTTGTTCATACAGCTGGTGAAATGGATCAGGGTCCTTGGTTGCCTTTGTGTGGATTGCTCTTAGTTTCTGCAACAGGATGTATCCGTCAGTAGCTACACCTACAGCCATGGGTGACACACCCTATCAGTCTATACACAAACCGTGACAACCTCATATTGACCCAATAAATCAGTGCATATTTCAATATTCCCATAAAGCATGGCACAACCATTATTGACCACTGCCCCAGCAATCCATACATCCGGCCAAATCAACCCAGTATTGTCAATTTGGCATTAACGATTCTGAGTGATAAAAATACTCACAAAAGTAATAATAAAGATTTAACTCAGCTACAGAATACTTTAGTTTCAGTTGCTGATATTGGTGAACATCTTGAAACAGATTCACTTCTTAACACAGAATGAATCATTTTAACCATTTGAAGGTTTATTTCATAAATGCAACATACACAAAAAACAGGAATGAGTAATAAAATATCTTAATCATTAAATTGATATACATAAATAAAATGTATAAGAAATAGGGAAATATGCAAAATGACTCTAAATAACAATAAGTGACAACAACAAAAGATTATTGTCTGAGATGTGACATATGATACAATTATTTCATCCACATTATCCATCTATTTCACATGCTAAGCCAACACAAACACAAACATTGAAGACAATTGATTCCATTCAGGATAGCCCTACAGGAACCAAAATGTCATAAATCAGTCTCTAAGAGGATCCATAATGAATGTCACCATATATGTTCTTTTCATATAAATCGACCATAACATGAATCTAATGACATTTGATCTGTAAGTCACTTCACTCATCAATGGCCAGGGATTATGGCTTCAGCTGGCTTTGAAACCAGACAAGGAGAATAATGGGAGATAACTCTACAAACAACATTAAGCTCCACTAGGCGTAGAATATTTGAAATCCTAGAAACTGTTTAAACATTTGGACCTGTGATATCTTATTTCCAATTTCATGGAAAATTTGCCTCAGAAAACCATCAAGCTTCTGTGAATGGTATGATTAAGTTATGATTAAGTTAAGACTGATCGCCATCACTAGAAATCACTTGTCACCTCAGTAACTAAATTGGATGGAGAGGTCAGATTTCGAGAGGTCAGAGTGTGTGCCTTGTGACACACAGGATGGGATGGTGCTCTTACTATCAACCACATATTTTTGTCTGCTTGGTCATTTGCAGGCTACTGTGTTATAACTGCTGTATTGGTGTAGAACATCAGTGTAAAAGAATACAGTCTTGACTATCCTCAGAAACAAATTCTGTTTGGTGTATAGGGAAAAACAGATGTAAAAAGTATATGAATGGATCGCTGAAAAAAGGGGTTCGTGAAAAGAGTATGTATGTCTTGCCCTATCTATGTTGTTGATAAAAGAGTTTCACTCACTCACTCAACTACTTACTCAGTAGGTTTCTGAGGAAAGCTTTTTCCCACTCACTCACTCATTTACTCAGTCAGTCTCAGAAGGTTTCTTGGGAATGTACTAATCATTCTCTATACACTGTGGTCACCATTACTCTCAGGACTTGTTTTGGTAACATCTCCCATTCACCTCGACACAGAGGTGATAGTAACTGACCTTGTTAAGTTCCGTGGTGCCACTCTTCAGGCTGCGGATGTCTTCATTCAGCCGCTGTTCCTCTAGAATTATCTTCACCGTGCTCTGTCTCACACGCTCATGTTCCTTCTTTAACCTGTAATATACCCCAGATATAGAATAGAATAGAATAGAATAGAATAGAATAGAATAGAATAGAATAGAATAGAATAGAATAGAATAGAATAGAATAGAATAGAATAGAATAGAATAGAATAGAATAGAATAGAATAATACTTTAATGCCTTTTCAGGAATTTGTGTTACATCAGCAGAGCTACTGACACATTAGAGAGATACCAAACATATTTACATAAATTCTTTGATTTAGGTATCTTCACATTTGTTTAAGAGAGATATGGCACTTGGAATAAAGGATGCACGGGCTCTCTTAGTTTTCATAATTGGAACTTTGTAGAGGCGGCCTGAAGGGAGGAGGTTGTATTCCGAATTTAAGTAGTGAGTAGGGTCAGATATGATTTTGACAGCTTGATTCACGATTTGCCGCTCATATATTGATGATAAACATTCAAATCTGACTCCAGCGATTTTACTTGCAGTGTTAACAATTTTGTCTATTTTAGATTTGAGATGAACTGAGAGAGACCCGTACCAACAATGGAAGGAAAATGTTAAAATACTCTGAATAAATGCTACATAAAAAGATGACATCACAGATGGGTTAACATTAAAAGATCTCAGTTTACGCATGAGATGAAGACGTTGTTGACACTTTTTGTATAGGGCTTCAGTGTTAGAGTTCCAGCTTAGAGTCAATGAAGGTTCCCAGATACTTATACTCCGACACTACATATATAACCCTCCCTACACTATGAGATGAGTCTCTAAAACATTTATACAATTGGTCTTTATATACAACATTCTTCTGATGCATATACAACACTATATCAAGAATTGTATGTGTACAACACTCTGATGTATGCATTTACTATGCTTGGATACTTATGATCAGACTAACGGGATCGGGTGGTCAGGCTTGCTGACTTGGTTGACACATGTCATCGGTTCCCAATTGTGCAGATCGATGCTCATGCTGTCAATCACTGGATTGTCTGGTCCAGACTTGATTACTTACAGACTGCCACCATATAGCTGGAATATTGCTGATTGGGGCGTAAACCTAAACTCACCCACCCACTTATTATCATGCATCTGCCAGGAGAGCTGAATGTAGCAGTTTCGTCCCCTAGCTGTGGCAGACCAGAAGATGGTACTTGGCATTATCCTGCCTGCTGCTCAGCATTAAAAGGACAAAACAAGGACTTGTTGGCTCAGTGACAGAGTGTGTCTAAGGGGGTATTTATCATAAAAGATGGGATTTTGCTGGACTAGTACTATAAAACTAGTACGGTAACCGGAACTCGTGCAAGTAACAACTCATACACATTCATGGATATTGCAATATGGGGGAACTATTTGTCACAACACTCTTTTTCAAGCAATATTCACTAAACGTAATGATTACTCATTTTGTGCTTAAATCTGATTTTTGAATTGAGCTTTCAAAATGAATAGACACTCAACTTTGCCATTATTATTACTAAAAACAATTGTTGAATATTTTACAAAATGTTGAAACACCCTGAAAATACCTAGAAAATGATTTTTAAACAAAGCATCTTCTGAAAGCAAATGAAACATTCATAAAATGTCATATTCAGAAATATTTTCTTTAAAGTGCCAAAAAAGTCACATATTTTACCCATTAATAAATAAAGTGTTTTCTCACAGATTTCTTTGGTAATGGTTAAAAGACCCCAGGTAAAAGATTGATTATAGTTAGGGTAAGTATTTCAGCCTTATCTGACATGTGAGAGCTTGAGTGTAAGACCCTTGTACTCCCCCACACCTACATATCTACCAGTATCTAGACAGGGGAAACTTCCTACTGAATATATTCTAACCTGTGTACAATTTCTTCTTGTTTTGTAATTTCACCATTCTCATGAGCAACTTTGGTCTTGAACTGTTCAGCAGATATTGGACTTTGTCCTGATTTCTTCAGTAGATGATACTGCAAGAAACAACAAAAACACATGATAAAGGCTGCCGCTTCTCACTGATCCCCATGTTCCCTCAGCAACCTGTATGGACATCCTGGTGATAGGTCCTGCTTATTCTCTGTACACATAACCCTGTGGGGGAAGCCACATGCTTGCTACACCCACCCCTCTTTCATTTTAGGTTCTCCATGCCCCATGATTGTCTCCCACGGGATTTAGGGGTAGAATCAGATTCTAACAACCCTGCTTGTCTCCCACGGGATTTAGGGGTAGAATCAGATTCTAACAACCCTGCTTGTCTCCCACGGGATTTAGGGGTAGAATCAGATTCAAACAACCCTGCTTGTCTCCCACGGGATTTAGGGGTAGAATCAGATTCTAACAACCCTGCTTGTCTCCCCCCTGGGATTTAGGATTTAGGGGTAGAATCAGATTCTAACAACCCTGCTTGTCTCCCACGGGATTTAGGGGTAGAATCAGATTCTAACAACCCTGCTTGTCTCCCACGGGATTTAGGGGTAGATTCAGATTCTAACAACCCTGCTTGTCTCCCATGGGATTTAGGGGTAGAATCAGATTCTAGCAACCCTGCTTGTCTCCCACGGGATTTAGGGGTAGAATCAGATTCTAACAACCCTGCTTGTCTCCCACGGGATTTTGGGGTAGAATCAGATTCTAACAACCCTGCTTGTCTCCCATGGGATTTAGGGGTAGAATCAGATTCTAGCAACCCTGCTTGTCTCCCACGGGATTTAGGGGTAGAATCAGATTCTAACAACCCTGCTTGTCTCCCACGGGATTTAGGGGTAGAATCAGATTCTAACAACCCTGCTTGTCTCCCACGGGATTTAGGGGTAGAATCAGATTCTAACAACCCTGCTTGTCTCCCACGGGATTTAGGGGTAGAATCAGATCCTAGCAACCCTGCTTGTCTCCCACGGGATTTAGGGGTAGATTCAGATTCTAGCAACCCTGTTTTTGCTCCCTTGGATTTTGTGTTGTAATGGAATCCCAGCACCCCATGACTGTCTTCCATGGGATTTAGAGGTATATAGATTCTAGCAACCCTGCTTGTCGCTCCCTAGGATTTTGGGTTGTAATGGAATTCCAGCACCCCATGATTGTCTCCCTTGGAATTCCATGGTGGAACAGACCCACAGTATGATGAGACAGGTGTAGTGAATGTGTGTCATCATGCCCTGCTGGGATTTACTGTTGCTCATGCTGTCAACCCAAGGATTGCCTGGCCTACACCCCAGGATTTCCAGTGAGAGAAGAGGATGGACTATTGCTGACTGTTGTATTGAAGAACTCTCACTCACACCAGGAGCTGTATGGACACCTGGGCTCCCCTTTTTCAATAGTTCTAAGCACCAAATGCAAGCACTGTAATTTTGTAAAATGGACACCAAAGGAAGTGATATTGCCAAACACTAAACCAGGCATATTTATCTGTCAGAATCCGAACATAACATAACCATGTCCTTTCATAACAAAATGACATCAAGCATTTCAAAACATTAAGCGCAAAACTCAAATACACATTTTCCATTAGTAGAAAAACATTTAAAGTGTAATCAAGTCCTCGAATACAAAATAACACCAATAATTCAAACCAACTTAACCACGTTACATACCAGTATTTAGTATTTGTCTTGATCCACACGTTTTATATGAACAAATCATAGTTCATAGATGTTTTTATTTCATAAAATATTTTATCATGAAAGCAGCGTATAGATCACTTTTACAGTGCTTGAGTAAAATTTAACAGCTTACCAGATCACGACAGATCTTCAGTTTAACCTCTCCAAACTGCAATCTCCGAGATTCTCGACTAACGTCTTGTTTCCGTTTTTCCTGCAAACAACAGCATGCAGTTATTACCTGTGTGTCCCAGGGAAGATTGAGGAAATCAACATTGTTGGATACCATAGTTACTCAAAGAAAAGCTCTCACACAAAATCATTGTTAATAGGATATTTTATCTCATCAAGTGGTCCAGTCAAGCAAATGCCTTAATGATATGCACAGCATATGAATGTATCTGGACATGACACAAAATTAACACAAATGACTAAAATGTGACACGATTCACCAGCCAATCTTGAATAGTAATGATAACAAATATAAGCATACTGTTTTCTAAACAAGTAAACGTAATCAATATCCTTATTTATAACGTGTCTACAAACAGCTCATAAAAGTTTGACAAAAGTAAGTCCTAAGTATTAAATCACAAGGACAGAAAATATACTCTGGGCGTACACAACATTTTTCTGTACCCAACAAACAGATTATACCATTTACGGTAATAATGACTATATCCAAACTAGTCAGAATCACATGTAACTGCTTGATCAAGTTACAGAATGGGGACCTTTATTAAAAAGACCCCATTGTCAGCTGAGAAATGTACAATCACTGGCTGATTTCATGATACGACCACATGAAAGTTGGCTGTCAGAAGTGAGAGGTGTCACATGTACAGCCTGGCCCTTGGCCAGGGTTGGACCACTACACAGGTGTGGTAGATTTCACCTGACAGGTATACTGCATTGTATAAAGGGAATAATGTTCTAAGATCTCATAACTGTTGCAAGAGAACTACGTATCAAAATACAATTTCATTAGTTTGATCATGTGCTGATGGTCACTTATCGGAAATGGGGAGGTACATATTTCACATCAGAATTCATTTCAGAAGTGATTGTAATGTCGATTAGGAATTACAAGTTGCTATATGATCAAATATGAAATTAATCCTGACTAACTCACTTTGAATTACATTTTGAAAAAATATAGCACACGACATGGGATAATGCAAATTTGCAAAGCTCTCCAAAACATGAACTGTTTGAGAGGAATTCACACTATGCTTCTCCAAAACATTGTAAAAACAGCTTTCATGTTACCATTATCTGCTTTAGACTACCATCTCAGAGGTAAGACGCCTTTTAAGGTGTCCTATCAAAATGTGTAGTTATTAAAACCAGAAATGCAAAAGATACAAAGACTTACTTAATAAAAACATCATAAACCCTCTAACTGGCATCGTTATAAATGGAAACCCCGTCATTCAAAACTACTCATTTCGACCTTTAATTGACTTAAATCGACCTTTTGACAACAGTGCACAATTCTCACCCACCTTGACGAAATTTCAACCAATCAAGTATGGTAGCATCTGTGAAGCGTCATATGAGGAATAGCTTTGAGGGGCCGATGCAGAATTCATCTACATTTTAGGGGTTAAATTATCTTGTTTACGGGCTTGCATAAACCTGAAATCGTGACAATTGTTGTGGAAAATGAGAAGCTATATGTTCTCACAATCTACTGTCATTTAATTTTGTCTCCTGCTGCCTAGTTTCCGAGTTACAACTTGTTTTTCAATAGGCGATTCTGTCAAAATCGATTGGTGTCGTTAGGCCCTATTTGTATAATGACTGATTCAAATTGATCCATTTCTGTGTTTTTTTACCTCGATATTTAATCATGTCATGTAAAAATCTGTTTGTATTCTCAAAACAGTGTAGGCCCATAGCGAAGTTTTCACATGCAATACAGCAATTAATACTCCCTTGTTGTAACCGATGTTAGGTGGTATATACCTACATATGTTATTTGTCATCATTCACTTGGTGGTCAGTTAATGAATTTATAACAGGTATGATTGAAATTAGTGGTAACACACTTTGATTACTGGGATTAAGAGTTCCCATTTTGGCATTTCTTGTGTCTGAAAGAGTAAATATTCAAGCATTATAGAACATCGATCAAAGTATTAACCGATAACGCAGCTGATTGATTAATTACTTTTATCTTACACAGCGAAAAGGTGTCAAAGGTGAGTGTTTATGTATGTGAATTTACTAATCTATACTGAATACACTCTGTATCGTGTCTGTGTCTAGCGTAAAACAACGTCCTTCTTTCAAAGGATTAACGGCAATACTGTTGATTGATTGCCCATTATTGGCCTAACTAAATTACTGTTTTTAAAGAAGTAGGACATTGTGCAATTAGTTGCCAGGTGTTGCTATCTTGGGTGACCAATGAGACTATACAACAATACCTGAAAAGATTGATCACTTTTAGGTATATTAAACTGTTAAAAGACACATCATTTTGGAACAGTTTTTGTGGATATTGATGGATACATTCCTCGAACAAAGGTAATGGCCTGATATTGTTCCTATCACTTTAATCTGTTTTAATTTTAATATTTGCATTTTGTTTTATTCATTTGTCGTAGCATATCAACAGAATGCATTGTTTTAAGCCGTGAAAGTAGTAATGGAGACAGGGCAACAACATGCACTAGGGGTGTATGTACGAATTATGATTCACATTGGCAAACTATATATAATGTCTAGATATTACAGTTCTGTTATAAATTCACTATATAGTATTCAATGAGATCGTCTGCTTTTTTATTTAGTTTCAAAATGCATACAAGTATTTAATTAGGATTATAAGACCAAATATAAAGACGCACATTGACTAGTATCTACATACTGGTGAGTGGACATTAACCATACAGGAATGTACAGCAAAAGAAATTTATCGGCGCAGTATATTGTGACTTCGACCCGTTTACCTCGCTTCCGTGGAAGAAATGCGTTATATTATAAGTTGTGTCATGCAAAATCCGTTTTGTTATCATTCCAATACATATTTAACTTCTGAGTAGAAAGTAGTCTTGATTTTTCTAACAGTGAAACAAACTATAATCTCATTAATTCTAACAGATTTTTTATTTTTTCAAAATGGCGAGCCTGTCAGGAACATCCATCAGTCTGAGGATAAATGCTATTTAGGTTTGTTTTCACCGAGTACCTAAAATCAAAACTACTTCTACTGGTAATAAAATATATATTTAATGATAATAATATGATTTTGCATGACATGCATTAACATAACAATTTCTCTCCTGGTGGCGAGGTGGATATCAATATAATACTACACAATATTATTGTTACTTGACCACAACCTGGCTTCGAGGAAGAAATCGTTATGTTACAAAGTTGTGTCATGGAAAATCTTTATGGTGATCATCAAGCCATTATATATATCAAGGGTTTAGAAACTGACAGGCAACACAAGACAGCTTACTCAACACTGATAGCACAGTCACTGTTACTAATATAGAAAGTATCGGACAGACACTAGCGGGTATTTGTCAACTCTTGACAAGAAGAAAACTATACAAAAGACAGGTCTCCTTTGCCTTGCACAGAGCTATTATTGTTTTGAAGTGCTATAATCTTTCCATGTAGAGGTATAAGCAATTAATGTTGGTCATTCATGTTATCTAAAAATAAATTTTCCAATAATTTCTGTATTTGAAACATCCAAGTCACCATGATCTGAATACATCAATTTTAAAGTTTTTAACTGTCAATAGAATTTTGATATGTGATTTGTTCTGTAAAATAAATTCAGGTGAAGTTCAAAAATATATAGGTCTTCAGGCTTGATGAAAGTTTCAATAAACTTGTTATGGTGGCCAAGTCAAGGACTGAAATGAATGGTGATCTCCATTATGTGAAATGTTCCAGGAATAAATTTCTCCTGTCATTGTACGGAGTGTTGACAGAGTCTCCGGGAGGTTCTCTAGCACCCACTATCAACTGAAGGACTCTCAGATTGTGCTGGTATCAGCTCTGGGCCTGGACTTAATGACAGCCTGCTCTCTCAATGGTCATTGTTGAACTTCTGTGTCAAACATTCACGTCTTGACATTTCTACACAGAACTACCATATTCCATTATCATGAAAAGTACAACATGTGTATAATATTCATGTCAGTGAAAGTGACAAGTGTGATTCTTGAATATTATTCTTGCCTCTGTACTACTTGTACTTCCCTCTGTACTATTAATACCTCTCACTTGAAGTGAAAAGTGCAACATGTGTATAATATTCATGTCAGTGAAAGTATGATTGTTGACTATTCCCTTGATCTGGACAATTCAGTGATACAACTAACATCCATTGTTAATGATAAAAATGATGCTGATATGTTCAGGGACATCCGACAATAATGTATTGAAATATAACTTACACAGTTACCCTCCCAAAGTCTTCAGAAACAACCATGATACAAGAAAATTCAATACCCATAAATATATATATACTCTTACAGTGGAAAATTTAAATGTATTTAAAGTGAGTGAGGATTACTCGTTTAAAATAATCTGAAGCTTCTTAACTAGCATCAGTTAAGAATAACTACAAAAGTGGTATCTGCTTCATGTTATGAGTATATAAGACTGACTGAGTTTGGTTTTACGCCGCTTTTAGCAATATTCCAGCAACATCATGGTGGGGGACACCAGAAATGGGCTTCACACATTGTACCCATGTGGGGATTCGAACCCGGGTCTTTGGCGTGACAAGCCCACGCTTTAACCACTAGGCTACTCCACAGTATATAAGAACATAAACTGGATTAGAAATGACAGGGACATGTTATTGTGACAATATCTATCATATTAATTTTCTTGAAGAATAAATTATTGAACTTTTTAAAAAACATGTATAAATACTATGTAACTATTTGTTGTGGCAATTTCATCACTGTGGCAGTGATGTTAGAAGTGTAGTGAATGATACCTGAACTACAAGCTCTCTTGCTGGATAAGTCCGCTACATAGCTGAATATTGCTGAGTGCGGCGTAAAACGAAACTCACTCAAAATTGTTGGATAAGTAACATCCCAATAAGTAGATATCTTGGCTCTGTTCCTTGATTTGCCATTTGCCACTTTATGATCACATAGTATGGCTTCTCCCCCTTGAAGCTTACCTGTGGTGTGGTTACAGGTAACAAATAGCATCCTTGACTACCCCTTCCAGTACCAGCCACAACATCATGGAGAAAATACATCAAGAGAACGGGTTCTACCTTTGCATTAATCTTTCTTGTAAATAGACTCTCATCGTAGCCAATACACCAATGCTGACAGCAATCAAGATATAATCCAATCAAGTCAAACTATATTTACCTTCAAGACCATCAGCCTGTGCTTCTTGACTTCATACTCATCCACCCTGTAATAGACAACATTCTGTTACTGACATGGAACATGGAGGAGGCTCTGTACAAGCGGGATGGCATGTCGTATTACACAATTCCCTCCTACATTATGCACCTGAGAACTGCTATATACATGTTACTGAAAAAACAATGGGTTGTTTCAAAACTTATTAATTCTTTAATCCTAAATCTTCCACTAAATATGAAAACACAAAACTTGACACAGAAGCTAAAGTAAACAGTTTCCTGGAGATGACAGGGAGATATCAACAACGGAAATGAACGACACTAAACCCTCCCTGTACAGACCCTCTGGTGCTATGCCACAGAAACTGTCTTCAGAGTGCTGTCACTTGTACATTTCACTGATATCTGGTCAGGGAGATAAATGTTGTATTGAACCCCCACAGACCAATAATAACATGTCTGAGAGTGTAACACACCATGTCAATAACAACGCTATAGACAACGCTGAAACACATTCCGGACTGACAGGAGAGTAAGAGTGGCACCTATACCTCTCACCTGTTATAAATCCCACATGAAAGGTCTACAATGTGTACATTTCAGTGCCATGGCTGTCATATTTACTACATGATTGACATATACCTATTGATATCTACGATTAATATGGCATACTACAGTAGCAATGTACAACAGGGGCAACTTGAAATAAATGACCCTTGTAGATAAGTCTTCAAAATGGAATGTACATGGCACTGATTTTCAACACCAATACAGTATATGGTACAACTGCCTCAGATCATCCTCCAATCTATACAAAAGATACCTCACTGCCACAAATCAGGGTACAAAAGTCGTCTGGTGATCAAGTTGTATCGCTTCCAACACAGGAGGTACCTAATGAAGCAACACACTTACCATGTCAGCAGCTCACTGGGGTGTAATGAACAACATCAACCTCCTACAGAGACTTACCGAAACTGACGACTGTACATTTCACAAACTCATAACATTCCCTTGTTAAAACCAGTCAAGGATTGAACAGATCATCATTGACAACCTGTTGTGTTTAAAATCTACAAGAATCCATCTAAATCAACAACAGCACATTGATTCTCTACAAACAGGACACAATTACAAAGCCTATTGTGAACTCAGCAAACAGAAAATGGCCAAAACACAGACCAGCAATTATCATGAAAAGCAAGAACTTCTTACGACATGAATATGTGTTAATATTGACCTGAGAGTTTGTTGATAGGGGCATAAGAAGCAATAATGTGGCTGGGAGAATGTTCATTTCATTTGAAATACCTGATTGATGTGTTGTAATGTGTAATGGACAATTCATGTGAGGCACCGTATGTCACTGTGACATCAGAACCAGTAATGACACAAGATCAATCACATTCTTTATCATCATATCTCGGTAAATTACATATTTTGTTTTAATTACAAGTTAGGGAAATGCTAATTAAGGAATTTGATAAATCCTGTCATCAGAATATGTTTATCATTATAAATGGTTAAATGGATGTAAGAACCAAAACGGTGTTTCCTTCTGGTGATTGAAGATATTGATTATTCTTTATCAGTGGATTTGAAACATTTTGAAAGATGACTCAAAAGGAAATACATATGGAAGATCATAAGTTTACAGTCACAAAGACCGGTGAAGGTCCGGGTTAGAATATTGGCCTTCAGTAACCCATGCTTGTCATAAGAGGCGACTAACGGGATCGGGTGGTCAGGCTCGCTGACTTGGTTGACACATGACATCGGTTCCCAATCATGCAGATCGATGCTCATGCTGTTGATCACAGGATTGTCTGGTCCAGATTCGATTATTTACAGATCGCCACCATATAGCTGGAATATTGCTGAGTGTGGCGTAAAACTAAACTCACTCATTCATGACGGGTAAACATGGCACTTAACAAAAGAAACCTTTTCCAGGGGCCTTTCATCTGAAGTCATGGCTTCTGCACTGCAGCTGATCTAATAACTCACTCACTCACTCACCCACAGTCACAAAATCATCCTTCATCAGTTCATATTAGGTGTGGGGCAGTGGGGTAGCCTAGTGGTTAAGGCGTTCGCTCATCATGTCGAAGACCCGTGTTCGATTCCCCACATGGGCACAATGTGTGAAGCCCATTTCTGGAGTCCCTCACGTGATATTGTTGGAATATTGCTAAAAGTGGCGTAAAACTAAACTCATTCATTCATACTAGGTTAAGTTTCAACAGGTCATATCTAGCAACACAGAAGAACATATACAGATTTGTATAGAATATCTTGGTGTTTGGATTACTGTCCAAATATCAGCATGAAATGGCTGGAATTGATATTTAGTTCTGTGACAAAAAATGTGGTGCAAAACCATGATGGAGTTCAAGGCAATAAAAGCAGCAATGCAACCATTTTTAAGAAATAAACAGATCATCACTACAATCCCTACCTTCGTTTCCTTGCCTGCAAAGAGTTTGGCGAAATCCGATCAGGGAGGTAGGCAAAGACATTGACAGGACAGTCTATAGACAGGCCTGAAATGTACAAGCATAAGATTACTGTGACAATCGAGGAACAGACACATGGCATTAGCGGCCTACAAGGGTAGTTGATGTGAACCGATTGACGGACTAGGGTGAGGGCTGGTGTAAGGTATGCCAGAGCTGTTGTCTCCAGGGATTGTTTGTGCTTAATGAAATATGATCACAGCAACTATTAACATCAACTTCATAGGTTTACACAAGAAACAATGCTGTAGTTTATCATATTCTTGAATCATAATTGTGTCAAGTATCCACAGATAATCATATCTGATTTGAGTCAGTGAACAGAGCTTATTGCTGCATCAGCAATTTTTACAAGACACGTCAAATTAACTGGACACTGACTAACCCTTGGATCTCTATAATGTGAAAGCCATTTTACAGGAACATACCTTTCTTGACGGTCCTGATAAGGTGGCAGGCCACCATCCACTCTTCTGGATCAAGACTGCCATCCCTGTTGACGTCGGCGATGTCCCAGATACGTCCCAGCTGGTCTGGCGGGAGTCCGGAGAGACTGAAGACTTCCTGAGCCATGTCAGCTGGAAGGGGAAAAAGCCTAATGTAGCAGTAGTTATAACATGGATATTTTCATGAATGAGCTGAGCTGGGTTTAATGCTGCCTTGAACGCTACTCCAGTTATATCATGGGTATTACAGTGGAAGGAAGCCCTAAGTGATGCCGCCATTAGACATAACCCACTTCAATGGCGCTGACAAAACCAGAAATAACATAATCTGGTGAAGCGAGATTCACACCCACAATCATAGGTTACATGTGTATTTAAGCGATACAACCCTGCAAGCAAATTGTAGCACCTCAGACAACTGGACACCCTGTCCCCAGATATGTTCATGAAGTGTACAACAACTCTGGTAGCGATATTTCATGTCTTGTCTTGAAATCAACAGCTGATATTTGAAATAAAGTGTCTGTGATAAAGCATTTGTTCATGGAACAAATACATTGGTGGTCTGAGAGGGCAAGAGAGGAAGAAGGATGTTCCCGCTCTGGTACCTCACCAGCAGTGTATGACCTCTACTGTTTTCATAGTACTATCCCTAACACAATACACTGTTCATCTCATGATATGTGGTGCTGATTTCCCCCTTCAATCCTATAATACCTGTGAAGGTCCAGGTTAGAATATTGATCTTCAGTAACCCATGCTTGTCGTAAGAGGCTCCCTGGCTTGGTTGACACATGTTATCGGTTCCCAATTGCACAGATTGATGCTCATGCTGTTGATCACTGGATTGTCTGGTCCAGACTCGATTATTTACAGACCGCCGCTATATAGCTGGAATATTTCTGAGTGTGGCGTAAAACTAAACTCACTCACTCAAATCCTATATATCTATAGACCACACAATTACATAATAATCCCAAAATGTCAGTTTGAATTGATTTCACCCAACAACCTCCACCGTCATCTCAATACTACCCCCAACACAATACTTATGACATGTGGTGCTGATTTCCCCGTCCAGTCCTATAATAATATTTGTATAGCTTTAGACAAAACAAATACATGATAATCCCTAAATGTCAGTTTGAATCAGCTTGCTGATACTTTTATGAGCACACTGTAAATTGGTTCTTGACGTGATTTCTATTAATTCAGAATATGCTTTATGGGTCACTGCTTGAACAACCCATGCCTGATCAACAGGATCAAGTGGCCAGGCTCAATGACTTGGCTGATGCATCATCCCAGTTGCATATATCACATGATATCAATCACATGATTGTAGGATCCAGACTTCATTATTAACAGATCACATCATGTAGTTCGAATATTGATAAATGGATCATTAAACAACTTGAAATTATTTAGAGCAATTAGTTGGATATATCAACATGTTCCATTAACTCAGTTCAATATTTCTGAATTAATGCTCACATAAACCACTTCTAGGACAGGTTCTGATGGTCAAGATATGCATAATTTTGAACCACTGTAAATTTGAAAATTTACTAAAAGCACAAGGTATAGTCCATTTTTGTGTATCTACTTTCAACAATGAGCAAACATAAATGCTGTGCTTTTATGAACATGAAACATAATCTGTAAAATTTCATGCATTCAAAACTGTTCTAGAGTTGAGTTTTGATGGAAAATGTCACATTGATGGAAGTATTCACTATGCATTTTTTTGCAGAATTTCTGCCACTGAACATGGCTCATCTAAATGACACTTTTGACCAGGAGAGATAATGACTGCTAAATATTTCTTATATAAGTTGGATCTGTTGTTTTCTCTATATTGATCAAGTAAGTGAAATAATTAACCAAGCTAAAAAAAATGCCACAACAATTAGAACTATTATAATTTAGATTATATCTCTGATTTTCCAACACAATAGGTTTATCTCCATTCTATGACAATTTTATGAACAATTTCAGGTGGAGCTCTTTCTTTGGTTACGAAGTCAATGCATTGTGAAGCTGACCTCGCAGCATTCCAATCTCAAGTGGTATCGCCGAAGCGGGGTGTTTGGTGGCAAACCGTCAATGACTAACAAACTCCAGATTCAGTAATAACAAATCACGCGTTTTGTTTTCAATGCATCAATCACCAATCATTAACTGATAAGTTGGAAAACATATATCAAATAAGTTTGAAAAGCTTGGTTCACATTTGAAAATTCCACGTAGACTCTTTCCCCAGCAGAATAGTGGCAGCAACCTCATGGCCTTGACCTTTCTCGAAGTCATTGTTTATATTTGGAAAGATGCGACAGGAGAGCCACTGACAGTTTGGCATAAGGTTAACCTGATTGTATGACTGAGATAGTCTTTGATATCTAATTACTGGTACTGGTACAAAATTTAAGAGTAGAGGCTTTGCTGTAAGCGAAGTCCGTGTTGTACGAATTTAGATACTGTTGAATTTTAAGCCCTGTCAACTTGGCGATTTCCACCTCTCGTCTGCGTCGACAGCTGTTGTGACTCTTACACACTCGTAATGTGTACTTTGTGCCTCAAATTGATTCAGCGGATATTATTTTCTACATTTTGGAAAGTGTTTTGTGACCTAGTGGCTTCAAAGTGTAGTGAATTCAAATTGAATCGAGTTCGCTGGCATGTTCGGCGAGTCTGTTGACAAAGAGCCAGATTTGTGGTGATATTTCGAAAAGGATGGTTCAGGGCACGATAGGTGTACCTCTGGCATAAACAGTAAAGGTAATTAATTATACTTTAATAGACTACTTTAGATCAAGCAGTGTAATGGATAAGAGGATCATGACTAAGCTAAATAACTTTTCAGCGATATTATACATTTAGAAAAAAATATGTTGGGCTAAACAGAGCGGTCAATGTTATTTCACCAGCCGCAAGGATGATAAAACCAGTTCAACATACTTAGGCTGAGAATGTTTGACAACAGTTCATGATATCTACCGACAAACCATCTCACCTGCAAACCATTACCCTGTAAGACTACCACAGTTATGTCCCCTGTTAGGCATTCCTACAATGTCAGCCAGGAAATGTGATCTTATCAATTGTTAGCTATTGATTGTATGAAAATAGCTGGGATATTTTTATTTTGTCCTGACAGAAATCATTATTCAGTGTCAAAAGTTCAAGTGTAGCTACTAGTATTTGAATAAAACCTTCTAATCAATATGCATGCCCTTTTACCTTGACCTTGATGCTAAGAAACTGGAACAGCTATTTATTAGAAAGAACACTAAACAAAGAATAAAAAATTGATACTACTTCCTCACTTTCAGTCATATTTGCTTATCATTAAATCCAATAAAAGCATATTAACCACAAACCAATTATTCAGATGAGTTAATGTGATTAGAGTGAGTGAGTATGGTTTTATGCCTTTTAGCAATATTCCAGCAATATCATGGCACAGAACCCCAGATATGGGCTTCACACATGTATCCATGAGGGAAATCGAACCTGGGTCTTCAGCATGATGAGCAAACACATTAACCACTTGGCTACCAGGACCGCCTCCGTGGTGGTGCAGCGCTTAGAGCGTCCGCCCGGAGAGCGGTAGGTCGCGGGTTCGATCCCCGACCGTGTCATACCAAAAGACGTTAAAATATGGTACTTGTTGGTCCCTGCCTGGCGCTCCGCATTAATGGGTACAACAAGGACTGGTCGGCTCGGAGTCAGTATAATGTGTCTGAGTGGGGTATTCATGCTTGGTATCTCAGTGGGCTAGCACTATAAAACCAGCTTAAGTCTGGGCTAGTACAAGCAGCCGCACATACACATACGCACGCATGCACGTCGTCATATGAGCGAAATATTCTCAAGCACGACGTTAAACCCAATGTTACCTCACCTTGGCTACCACACCCCCTAATGTGATTAGACTGACTGACTGACTGAGTTTGGTTTTACGCCGCTTTGAGCAATATTCCAGCAACATCACGGCGGGGGACACCAGAAATGGGCTTCACACATTGCACCCATGTGGGGATTCAAACCCGGGTCTTCGGCGTGACGAGCCAACGCTTTAACCATTAGGCTACCCCACCACCCCTAATGTGATTAGAAGGGCAGTGGGGTAGCCTTGTGGTTACAGCATTTCCAGGTCATATTGAAGACCCAGGTTCTGTTCCCTACATGGGTACAATGTCTAAAGCCCAATTCCTGCTGTGATAATGCTGGAATATTGCTATAAAAATGAATTTACAACATCTTCTTCTGGTAGGAATTTACTACATTTTGTATCATTGCAATGTGAATTGATATTTTTTTACCTAAATTAGTAAATCTGACTCTCTATACAATATTTTATTGGAAACTGAACATAGTCATTCAGTATCTCATGAGAACCTGGCTTACTGCCATATACCTATATTGCAAGTTAGTAAGCAACTAAACCAGGCTGAACCAAGATTATCACATCAAATTTGTTGATGTCATACATCTATAGTTTTGTCTACAAACTAACCTTCAATAAATCCAGAGTTGGTTTTATCTAAAAGTTTGAATATTTTCTTGTAAGCCTCTTTTTCGCTATCAGCCAATGGTTCCGACAGCACCTCTGAGGTGGGGGGTGTGAGGTAGCGGGGAAGGGGCACAGGTAACTTGAGAGCCTCCAGGGTTCCGAGGGTGAGATGCATGGCCAGCACGAACTCATGGACGTTCAGGAGGTTGTCGTTACTCACATCAGCGAGGTTCCTGAAAGACAGGACAAAGTGTTAAAGCAGGACATCATGTGATGATGAGGAGGTATGATGTAAAATGAAGGAGACACTAGCTAGAGATGGTAACTGACCATTGCTGAGGTATTGGTGAGAGTCAACAATCACCTTTCAACTGATGTCAATCGGACTCTTAATAATGATCTGTCTGGTCCAGCATCAATTATTACACAAGGTGCTATGATACTGCTGTAATATCACTGGCTTGCTCTTCCCTTGCATCCTTAGGAGAAGCTCCTATAGAGCTACTCCATTAAATCTGATTTTCTTTATGTGTGAGTAGTTTTAATGTCAATATATTTGTAGGGAAACCAAGTTCTATGGATAGTCAACTTCTTTATTGCAATGAGTGCGACGTTTAGTTTCGGTGATGAGTGATGAGTTGACTGGTGATGAGTGATGACTTGCATGATAACGGTTTTAGTACCTACACTGAAACGCCCGCAAACTCATCGCATTAATAGTCAAAGGCAGCAAATGATTGCAAAAAAGAAGTTGACTATCCATAGAACTTGGTTTTCCTTCATCTTTACAACTTCTAAAATGCCACTCAAACAAAGACCAACAAGACGGTGATTAGGAATGTTTCTGTACTAGAATTAGTTATCTACCGTTGGTACCATGAACAAGGCAGTTTCTAGGAGGATGGCTGCATCTATACAAGATGGTGATTAGGAATGGTTCTGTACTAGAATTAGTTATCTACCGTTGGTACCATGATCAAAGTACGATTGATAGTTCACTAAGTGTCTGAATGGGGTAGTTTCTAGTGGGGATGTACTTATACAAGACCAACAAAACGGTGATTAGGAGCCTTTGAGTCTCACTTGCCAGGTGCAGAGTGAATACCATTTTGGAAACTCCTGCCAGTTTCCAAAACTATTCTGGATACAAGAACAGTAAAAGGCCCCTTTAAGACATTCTGTACTGACAGTTTTCTGAACATACTGACGGCATCAACATATTTTTGCAAACAGTATTGAACTCACTGATTTTACTTCACAGTAATTTCAGTAAATCTACTGTCCAGAAACTATCTCTGAACCAATATAACAGACAGACAGACAGACAGACACATACATGATTAGTTATTATTAATTATTAATCTGATCACCATATTTGATAGAAATCAATTATAACCAAAGATCCATGATGAAAAGCTAACATTGATACTGACAACAAATATGGATACCCTCTGACAGGGCTTTCTAAACATGGTCACCAGCCCCAACCATGGAGAAGTATTATTCATCTAATATCAGTGCCCTCTAGCTGTTTAGGTCAATGTAATTGCATACCCAATTTGATATGACGGAGTAAATTGACCTTAAATATGATCACAATAGAAATTCTTCGTAGTTTTATCTTACAATGACTCGCTTCAGCATTTTTCAGCTTCATTCAGTCTGGAGTGGGTATTGTCTAGTAATGCATCATATACAAATACCCTCTTTGTATAAAGGTCACGAAGTTCACCACAAACAAAACGGGGATCGTTTGTGTTTCAGTATGCAGTCAACTGTGAAGTATTTCAAGCATTTTGTTGACAAGGTAAATTGTATCAGTGATCAACAAGACTTAGTCATAGAATACTCCAGAATACTCTTAAAATCACATCAATTTATGTGTCTTCCAAGCAGTGTCTTTTCTAATATCACAATATCTTATTTCCATTACACTAAGGTATATTCTGCATTATCAAAAATGTCAATCACAGAAAAAAACACAAATTCAATCACAATATCTTCTCTTTGTTCTGTAAAAAAATGTTAATAACAAATGTTGTTGCTATGGTTACAATGAAATCAATATTGCATGTCTTTTATTGCATGCTAGGGGATATGCATATATGCATACTGTTATGGCTTTACTCAGAGTGGACTACAGACATGGGCCTAGATTTTTTAAGCTCTCTTAGCACTAAGATAGTCATAAATTAATGTTAATGTATGGCACTAACGACTATCTTATCGCTAAGAGAGCTTTGAAAATCTAGGCCATGGATATTACATGCAGTCTTTGCATGTCAACTTTACAATAAGAAATTATTCAAAATAGGCTCACTTTGTATAAAGTAAATTAATAAAAGTACATAAACCAAAACTGTACACTGGTGGTTTATATTAAGCAAAAACTAACACAGAACATTTATATTAGCCCAGGAACCATATCACACTGACACTAGCAATAGTATATAGCACATGTCATAAACACTACATGCAACTTTAAACACTGATACTGCAGTTGAACCTTGTACATTTTGCGCTATGTACGTCTTCTTTATGAAGTCCCAGTGTCAAGTAGACATACTGTCTGTGACATGGATCTGCTATGGATGATTACCTCGCTTCAAGACTCAGACATTACACTTGTCACATCTAAATTGTCAACATGTCTACACTGGATGACCTCCTCGTTTGACATTCCTTTTGATGACACAATCACAAGCAACAAGTCAAATGATGTCCTATGAAAACCATGTGTGACTAAGATGCCAATAATGAAGATATTTATATTTAGTTGAACTCTTCGTGGGTGCAAGGTTAGGTATCATATATCGGTGCATATTAGGCAAGTTTTTAAACCTGGAATTTGAGGGCACTAAAGGGGGGTCGTCTTATACACGGGATAGATGATCTTACATTTTTTTTCCAACTGGTGATGTCATCAGCCAGTGATGTTGTTTGACAGTAAAACTTCACATTTTATTCCAAATAACTGTCCCCTGAACTAGTTTGGTATTAAGCTTCCATTGTGTGTGAATTCCTTGTTCATACTATATTCTTCAGATGACCACAAAAAAAACTTTCAGCAGAAAACACATATCATTAGTTAAACAAGCTGACATTTCATATACTGTGATCTTTTGACATGGGTGTTAATTCATTGCTCAGATCACAGCAGGAACCTTGTCAGAAACATTCTCAAACATGACAAAGTTAACATGTTATTGAATTTGATGTTTTTCTGGATACATATTCTTCATGGCTGGGGGTGGTGGGGGGAGCCTAGTGGTTAAAGCATTCGCTTCTCATGCCAAAGACCTGGGTTCGATTCCCCACATGGGCACAATGTGTGAAGCCTATTTCTGGTGTCCCCCACCGTGATATTGCTGGAATATTGCTAAATCAGCATAAAATTAAACTCACTCACTCACTCATTCTTCATGGTCATGAGAGACAAACAAACTCACATCATTTGAACAATACTTAGATATGGAACAAATAAACATAAATAATACAAACACAAAAGATGGTGGATGAGTGACAAAGACTGAAGGAAAGACTGGTGCAAGTATGGACGCTGAGACTAACATGGCTCTAAGCCTATTTAGAAGACTAAACATAGATGGCAAAACAATACATCGAAGGACTGTGTAGGGACAGATCTTTCAACAGTGTATTCCTTGTCTCTGATGGATGAATAGCTGGATGTAATGGTGAGTGAACTGTACAGGAACAAATGGACAACAGATGTATGTTGTAAATATTAATCTGTCAGACTTGGACCCGCCTCAATCCACCTTATAGCGTGTTCAGGTTGCATGATTACATACATTCAGTCCTTGTAAAGCAGTAAAACATTTTGGCCACGTCCATAAATCATGTTGCCAACAGACAAGATAAATATAACTGAGGCTTCTGAATGACCCTAACTTTATCCAGGAGGCGTCAGGTAAAAATTCCTTTCCTTTCTAACATGTGGCAATGCTGTGGAACTGGTTTGCTGGGAGCAACATCAACATCCAGGGGGCCATCCATGGACACGATCATGGTGTCAGTCAGCTGATGCCCAGGGCAAATTCAAAATGAGAAGAGAAGAAGCAGTTTCTGAATTTATGATTTATATGTATACTCAAAGCCAAAAGAAACTCTCATCCTAAGACCTATGGTTTCTTTCACTGACCTCTATAGTTCTGGTCAGAACTGGTCTTCAGCTTGTCATAAGAGGTGATTAAAGAGCTTGAGTGGTAAGACTTGCAACTTGACACCTATAGAAGGAAATGTGAACTCAAACCTAGACTCCACACACCTGCTGTCTACAGCTAGTTTTGTCTGCACCAATGAATTTTCAATGTTGAGGTTCTGCCAACAGGATTGACCCCTGCCAGGGCACCTTATATGAACACTATGTATACTATGACATCATCACAGTCCTTGCAGACCCATCTCTGTTGCCAGGGATGGTAGTCTGTGAGAGCTAGTGTGTGGAAGATGTGTGGTTGGAAACCATATGTTTCAGTATACTATGACATCATCACGGTCCTTGCAGACCCATCTCTGTTGCCAGGGATGGTAGTCTGTGAGAGCTATTGTGTGGAAGATGTGTGGTTGGAAACCATATGTTTCAGTATACTATGACATCATCACGGTCCTTGCAGACCCATCTCTGTTGCCAGGGATGGTACAGTCTGTGAGAGCTATTGTGTGGAAGATGTGTGGTTGGAAACCATATGTTTCAGTATACTATGACATCATCACGGTCCTTGCAGACCCATCTCTGTTGCCAGGGATGGTAGTCTGTGAGAGCTATTGTGTGGAAGATGTGTGGTTGGAAACCATATGTTTCAGTATACTATGACATCATCACGGTCCTTGCAGACCCATCTCTGTTGCCAGGGATGGTACAGTCTGTGAGAGCTATTGTGTGGAAGATGTGTGGTTGGAAACCATATGTTTCAGTATACTATGACATCATCACGGTCCTTGCAGATCCATCTTTGTTGCCAGGGATGGTACAGTCTGTGAGAGCTACAGTGTGGAAGATGTGTGGTTGGAAACCATATGTTTCTGTAAGGGGTTGTCATGGTTGGCCAGCCATTATGGGGATGGTCTCTGACTTGGTTGCTATGTTGACGATGTTGCCAAAAGAGCCTGTAGAAGCTGTATTGATGAGCGACGTCACACTGAGAGATACCTGATCCAACCAATTCTGTGGCTGTCATATTCACTTAGTGTCGAATGGCAAACACTAATC